TCCCTGTGAAAGGACAGAAGGCTTGCTTCAAGCTTTCTGACACATTTTAGCCAGTGTTCATCTGTGATGAGCAGCAGCATCCTTGAAACTGCAATCGCAGCTCATTTACACACGCTGAGCTGCCCGCTGGAACCAGAGTTTCCCTAGGAGGGTTCCCAGGGTGTGCCTGGAGCAGCTCTGCCACAATCCAATCTGTGAGGCAGAGCTACTGCCTTATTGCTCCTCAACATGGGAGATCTGGGCTCCTGCTGCAGCAACATGATCTTTTTCCCCAGTGTGCTGCTGCTGACCGTGGTGACAACTCCCTGCTACTTCAACCACAGTAAATTAATCTATTTAATTAAGTAGCACTAGATAAGTGCTTGAGACTTGAGCATTTAGGGTTTTTCTTATATGGCTTGTGTTGTGCTCAACCTGTGACAAGGCAGGGAATGTTGCCTGTAAGGTTGTTAACAACCACAACTAGAAAGAAACAGTGAGAAAACAAACCTATTTTAAGTTTCTTGTGCCTTTTTTTTTCTTTTTGATGAGTTTTAAAAAATTATTTGTCACTGTTAGTTTGCAAAAATAATACCTGAAATTTGACTCTAAAAGTTTGAAGATTTGTGACTATCTAGAAACAGACAATGAAATCCAACCACATAAATTTTAAAGCTATTTTTGCAATGTTGAAAAGTGGAACTATTTCTAACACCGATTTAAAACAGATGAAGCATTGCAATTTGAAAATGAGCAATTACTGCAGTGAAAACCAAAGCTAAAATCCAAGAAATACTCATAGGAGATGTTAAGGGGCCTCAGTGCAGCCATTTTTGTACACAATGGTTGATGTTTTTCATTACTTCTTGTAAGACAAAAATTTTACATTCACAATTTAGATTACAAATTATAATGTCTGTGAGAGCAGACATTATTCTGAAGTGCCTAAAGAAAGCATAAGTTAAATTCAAAAAACAGGAATAGGAAATCTAACCGATTTGTATATCCCACCCAAGTGTTCCCCTCAGACTTGAAATATCTGATGGGAAAGGGGGTACTACTTCCAGGCGTATCGAGTAGATATTATTTTAGAAACATTTATACAACTGCATATGCCCTGGCTCACTGCTCAATGTTTAACACACACACACACACACAAAAGCAAACACAAACCCCCAGTGTGGCCTTTGACAGATTGGTAGAAACAAACAAAAGATGATTATATAAACACAGAAGCTGTGTTTGCAAAAGCTCATTAATGCCAAATTAAAGTGAGAAACATGAGATGGTCCGTACTTGTTCCAGCCAGCAGCTAAAGTGAGGTTTTACCACCAAACGGTATTTTGCGCAAATCCAACTGGTTTCTTTCCACTCACAAACTCCTACTGAACCAACAACGAGGCTGTTCTCAGGATATTTTTGGTTGACTGGGTGTCAGATATGATTTTTTTAGTGGGACAGTGACAGATTACGAGAGGCAGGTGTTCAACCTTGAGTATTAAAATAGGTGTCCCTGTAAGCTGTTTGCTGACATATTTCTATGACCTACAATCCACTTAGGCAAGCAGAAGGCCACACAGGTGGCAAACCTCACCTATGATCCCAGATTGAACTGTATTTTAATGAATTATGTTCTGCATGATTTATCATTGCTCATCAAGACCAAAGTTATTAATTCCAAAAATAGGAAGTTGATGCTTTCTGTCTGATAGCTGCAAATCTCCTGTTTTGGACAATGACTTCAGGACTCTGGAATTAATCCCTCTTCCATGCTTGTCTTACTTTCAGGAGAGTGACCCTCAATACAAATATACTGAAATGCAAGCAGTAACCACCACTTAACAGACCCAAGTGCTGCTCTGCCCCATCAGGTTGTTGTATCCAGAATCAGATGGCTTATGCAATCAGAAGGGTTTCAGAAAGAAGCTGTTTAACACCACAACACACTTAAGAGTAAACACAGGAGAGCCACTTGCTCCTGATGTGCCCTTCTAGGTAAAAGGCAAATTACTGGAGACACAATGAATATCAAGAATATATTAAACACATCAGTGTCTGTGGAGAGGTCTGCCCAAGATCCTTCAGTCCCAATTCTGCCATAAGAATTAGCAATGCTTCCTGGAAAGTAAATTTAGCAGATATGTGTTTTTAGCCTGCAAAGCTACCGCTAGAAATAGTGGGAAGAAAGCTTGCTGTCGTGGTCCATCGGAGCTCCAACAAGCAAACAAGGGGCAGCCCATTAGCAAGCACTGACAGGATGGATTGAGAAAGGCAGCCCACCCAAGCAGGAAGCTAAAAAATCCAAAGAGGTGAAAAATGTGCTGCACTGCTCAACAGATGTAGCAACCAGCAGCTCCCTCAGGGGCTTGTGTGTGTCAGTACAATAAGGACCCTTTCCAGCAGCCATCACTTAAAGGCCAACAGCCCCTATTGGCTACAAGGGTCTTGAACCCCAGCTGGAAATGAGGTCCATAAGAAATCCTCCTCACAAGAGGTAAATACACCCTTGGGTCATGAACCTCAGTTACAAGTTGCAGGCTAGTGTAGGGTAATTCACCTCCCAGGAACACAGCCAAGGTTTATGTAAAGTTGTTGAAATGGGAAAGTGGAAGAATGCTGATGGGTGCAGAAAAGCTCACCGGGAAAGTTAAAATAATTTATATAAAGGATAGTATGGAAGCTTGAGATAATCAAATAGGAAACAGCCAAGAAAAGCAACAGTTCTACATAAAAGAAACAGTTCTACAGAGAAAAAAAAAATTAAAGCAACTTATCCATGTTTTCCTGCAGCCAACCAAACAATAAGGTAGGAACCTGACTGCCTGCCTGACTTGCTGGCCTGCATACTTTTAACTGAGAATATCAAATGTGGGCATAATAAGCACTATGCATCCTAGTGGAAAGAAAACAGTCAGAGCCCCTGGAACAAAAAAATCAAAGCATACATAAAAGAGGGGGTAAGCTGTACCAAACAGTAAATAGAATCATATGTTAAAAAGTAGTTTAACACTAACTGGCCAAGCCCTCTGGACAGTTTACTCAGATGTGATCCCACTGAATTGATATTCTGAGCAATGAAATGAAGAATTGAAATGAAATACTATCACCATTATATTTCAACTGTGCAACAACGTGGTGATGGGAAAACTTCACTTATGCTCAGTGGAGAGTATAAACACACTGGGATACATTAGCAGGAATCAGCATCTTGTGGGCAGCCAGGAAACTCAAGAGAGGAGGAAGCAACTCTTGGCTTTGTTGGAAGCACTGCACTGGGTCAGATTTTCATTTTTCTGTTTCTACAGTTTTGTTTCTATTGTTTTCTTGCACATATTTTTGGAGGAAACTGGAAAGATTCCTATTCTGGAATCTCTCTCCATGACAGAGCCTATCTCAAATAAAAATTAATGACGGAGATACCCAAAAGGTTTTCTAATGACCAAATGATCAGTAATAAACCACCAGAACCACATGAGAATTGCCTATAACACAAAGAAACTCAAGATTTAACTACTAATGCTGCTATTTAATTTCTGTCTTAAATTTGCTCCAAAGGCAGAATCTATATATATGAAAGGAGGCCTTTATCAAAGGTGTTTTTCTGACAAAAGGCAAAGATTTAAATACCTGATGGCTAGTGGTAAAACAAATTTTGGATATTGATTTTTTCACCATAATGACTTTTAGGTATTTTCTATTTTAAAGATTTCAGCTGAGGAATCTGAAATACTAAAGAAAAAGAGGGTTTATAATTCAGTTCAAAGGTGATCTCAGTTTTGTCATATGCACTTCTACTAAAGTCGAGAAGAGAGGCACTCCATTCAAAAAAGAGATGCTCTAAATTTAGGCCTGAATGACCTTTCACTTTTTGCACAGCTAATATTCACATTAGGGGAATTAAAGTGGGGAAAACTATCCCTTTTTGACTCTTCTTATTGACTCTGCAACTCCCTCTCCACCCCAGTCAGCTTTTCTGTCATTATCAAAACTGTGTTTTGTGTATCTCCAGATGTGAGCTGCCCTGAGAACTGCAGGACTAGACTTCCATTTCCTCAGAGCCTTGGCAGTGATCAGAGCGCTGAGCAGCAGCTGAGTTGGTGCAGGGGATGGCAGAGCATGGCGACCTTACCTGCTTCTGATGCCTTTGCTGCCCCTGTGCTACAACCAGGCTTGGCCAGATTGCAGAGGGATGCTTGGTGTCGTTCCCGGGATCTCCTCTGTTACAAAACTCAGATTTGTAGCTACAGCACTGGGAATACAGTTATATTCTCCCCCGCCCTTCCCAAACTGGCAAAATTGACTCTAACACCTTTTGCTGTAAAGCCTCAAGCTGCCCCTTCTGAAAAATGTTCCTGTTGATATCAGGTCAGATATCGGTGGGGCCCTAAAAAAAAAATAATGGTGCTTCCTAGTGCCACTGCTGTAAAATCGGGAACTGCTTCCAATTCCTCCTGCAGACCGGTGAGATCTGACCTCATGCAGGTGTTTAACTGCTCCTGCTCTGCACAGTGGCCACACTGAGGGAAAGCATGAAGAATTGCAGCAGAGGACTGTTATTTTCCATTGAAATGTCATGAGAATTTATCTGAAACAACAGGGTGGGTTCCTCACACGAAGTAACAGATTTTCTATTATGAAAATAACAGGACATAACTCCCCAAATCTCTATTGCATATAAAAATGATAGAAGAATTTCAATACAGAATATAGAACATATTGAAACTGAGTTCAGTTCTGTTTCAAAAAGAGTGGTCATCCTGCATAAAAAAAAGATATATATTCCCCTCTGACTTTTCCTTGAAACACTCTCTATATGTGAGAAAAAAATTTAAAAAAATATTTTCATACATTGGGGGAACCAGTACAGTGGGATCTCTCTACTGCTATTCGTAGAACTATCCTAGGTATTCAGATCATTTATTTTTATCATGTTCTTTGACCCTCAAAATGTTATTAAATTTTAAGAAAATATGCTTTCTGAGAATGAAAAGCAGAAGTGTGTCAGTCAATATTTCACATACCTTGTGGAATTTGCTTACCTGAGAATCTCTATTCGTGCAAGTCCATTGGTTGGTCCAACCCACTGGACAAACACAAAGCTGCAGAAAGACAAACAGAAGAGCTCATGGTGTGTTACCATGGAATTTGCTTTCTAAGACTACTCAGAAGATATCGATGAACAATATATAAAAATATATCCCTTCCAAAGAGACTTTCATGCAGTTCTCCCAGTGCAAAACTGTTCTATCTCTGTATGAAATAACATAATTTAAAAAAACCCACAAAACTTCTGTATTAGTATAAAGGAAATTGATAAGCAAGTACCCGGTCTGCAAAATAAGACAAGAAACTGGATTTACTGTATGCATTTTGTCCAGTTCAGGCCTATCAATATTTGTTTCACATTGGCAGATTAGATACAACACATTACCAGTTAAAATAGCATAAAACTTTGTGTCTGTTCCTTCTTGCTATTCATACCATCTATGTTTTTATTGAGGTACAATAAAAATCAAGTACATATTATTTTAATTTGGCACTGGGTGAGAAGATATTTACAGGTCATATCAACAAGACCAACAAAATAAAACAAAAAATCAGAAGTAATTTTAAGAAATATAAGATACACTCCTCAGATTAATAAAGCAGTATGTTCTATCTAATTTCTTTCTTCAAGTTTTAAACACAGTAAAGTTAATTATGAGAAGAATTGTAACAAAGTAATTGGATTATAATGTAATTGTATTTCAGGGAAATAAATCTTTATAAAAATCCTAGAGGCTACAGAAAGGCCCCAGGAGATGTGAGTGAAGCTGTTAGGAGGCCTTAACTATAATGTCAATTTATTTGCGTCCAGCTGTGCTTATTGAACAATGATTAAAAAGGAAAATTGCCTACAAGATATTTACCGGGTATGTAAATCAATACTCTTCACTCCCAGGCAGCCACAAGTCTGCTGGCCATAAACCAGCAGATTCAAGGCATCCTGAACACGGTGGGAAGAGGGAGTTTCTGTGTTTAACAAGCTACAGGAGCATTCCGAGCAGTGAACCTGTTACAACCACAGGAATTTTCCATGGGCAGAGGGGAGAGGAAGCACTTCAGTGTATGACTGCCAGGAAGAAACAAAGATTTCTCCAATTTTGGCTAAAAACAATGACAAAGTGTAAAGACAGCACACGCCACCCAGGAAAGGAGAGGAAGGAAAGGTCCTAATAGGATTTCACTATTTAACTGACTGTAGCAGCTGGTACCTGAAACAGAGGGGGACCTGATTGCAGCCCCAAGGAGCTGTGCTCACACCACTGCCTTGTTAAAAGCTTTAACTCAGTATCATTTGTAACCCAGTCTTCACTGATTTCAGTATGGGTCTAGTTTTCAAATAATCCTTCAAATAATTTCTGTGACATCCCACTTGGAAACTAGAGTTTGGAATGGGGTCTGCCCTGCTGTGGAATTTCTCCAGCCTGGTAAAAGTCTGCACAAATTGCAGCTGGACAGAGGTTGGTCCTAAATCATGGTCCATGGAACACCTGTAGATAGATTTGAATAATTTCATCTGAACCTTTCAGCTTAATACTGATTTAAGACTATAATGTTAGTGTTCCAGCATGTGGTATAAATCTTGCTGTTATCCAGCCTGTTAATTACATACATGCCTTGTACATCTTCACATCTGCCACTGCAGAGCTGTCCGAAAATACCAAGCTCAGATATGAAAGCTGAGGAGCATCCATAGTTCCTCCTGACTTCAGCTGGAACTAAAGGTACTCATGCTTTTGTAGACCACTGCAGGATGAGCAGTGTCATGCAAATCACCATTCTGTGGGTCACTGGGTGTCATCACTGTTTCACTGACAGAACTCCTCAATGCATTTTTCTCGATATACTCTTGTACCAGGTACCTGAAATAACACATCTCTAGTTGCATATTATGGGCTGTTCAGGAGCCTGGCTGCTGTAATTCCCACCAAGGCTGCTTTATCATGGGGAGAAGTCTTGCAATACACTATCCACAGGACTACTCACACCTTGCGTGGTGACAGAGTGGTAAAGACAATGGCTTCTCACTGAAATACTGTTTTGTTTGATTTAGAGCATCTTATATGACAATTAAGTCTCACTGGACAGGGTAATTAATTTAAGCTATTCATAATGTCACTTGAATCTGAGCTCTGAATGTAGGACTTGAAATCCCTCTCTTGAGTTTCTCCAAACCTGGAGCACCTGTTCAAGGCACTCTTGCTTTCAAAGAGTTTGGAGAAAAAAAACCTGATGTGGATGATTCAGTCAGTGACAGTGACAAAGCTCTTCCTGAGAGTTCTTCAGCATCAGGCTTTTTTTTTTTTTTAATTTTTCAAATTATTCTCTTATGAGAAAGAAGTGCCCTAGAGAAAAGGATTTGAAGATTATAATTGCTAGAGCCTTAGTAAAGCTTAATTCAATCCAATGCTGTTAACACTACTGGCATTAACAAAGAAAAATACGTGGCTGCAGCTAGATATGCCATTTGGGAACTGTCTGCTGTAAAAGAAGAGTTTCAGCCTAGTGAAATAAAAAGGCTGATCTCAGAGGCCCTAAAAGAGATAGAGACACGATCCAGAGGGAGTTATGAGTTAATGAAAGTTCTGACAGTTTTTATGAGACTGCCTGAAATACCAGAATTTTTGTCAAATATTTTGCTGTTGCCATCCATATTCTATTGGATGAATCACCAAAACTGAAGAAGTAGCAAGAAATAATGACAACTGGGATAACACTACAACCTGGGCTTTTCCAAATGAAAACACTGAATATAAACAAATACTTTTTGTCACATAAGCCTACAAAAACAGCAGAAAAACCAAATCCAGAGGTGTTTAAAAACTGGTAATAGATGATTGTGACAATATTCACTGAAGTAGAAAAAAAGTCACAATATTAATGGATCGACTCTTACAACACCTCAGACAAAAAGAGGGGTATGTGTAGAAAGTAAATGTGCTTTTATTTGAAGATTAAGGGTGAGAGTTTACATCTATGCAAATCAAGCTACAAGACAGAAGCAATACAATTTATGCATTCTGTACCAACTACAATAACAGCTGTATCAATGGTTGATTTTTAGTCACAGTGTCTGAACTACTTCTATCATTTTCAGTTAGGAAAATTCTGCCAGTCTTTGAACTACCTGACTATTACTCCTGCCTTCCTTGATGTGTGTACCACACCACAGATAATGTCACTGAGCAGAGCTTTTTCACCCCAAGTTCTTAACACTCCCCTGCAATTTCCATTCTATAGACAGGAGTAAGAGAGAAGTGATTTGTTTATGGAATCAACTACACTGAATTCAGCCTCCTAAAAGCCTCTGAGTACATGGCCTACCTGAGCAAAGAGTCAGGATGCAGCTTGGAATGTGCCATTTCCTGATAGCAGGGAGATGATGTGTCCACCTCTGCTGCCCTGGCAGGTTGTGTTTGGCAAATGAGCACACGTCCACATGCAGAACAGCAGAGAACCAGACATGCAGACACCACACTGCTGCACTGGACCTTCAGCAACCTTTCCAGTCTGCCTGCTTTCCCCAGAATTGTTCAGTCCTCTCCAAAGCAGGTCTTGCATGGTATACAACAAAGCACTACAAGGGGCAAAGGCCAGCACAGGGTGAAGCTTTGCAGAGCTAGTTTGTCTGAGAGAAGAAAGCAGCACAACAACCAACTTAACTAATTCCACTGTGCTTACCTTGTGAATACATCTGTTTGACAGGATTGCTTATGGATTAAGAAGAAATTACCCTAACTCTGCTATTTCTAATAATCATAATTCCATTGCTATTCTTATATAATCTATACAATCCCTAAAGTTTCTATAAACATGACAGCTTCTTACTGAATGTTTTGTATTCTGAGCCTGGTAAATTATCTCAATGACACTGAAGTTTGGACTTTATCTGTAACTGAGTTTCATTGCTCTCACTCTTGGGCATGCTCACACCATTTTATTTTCACTGGGTAACTGAATGATTAAGCTGTAAGACATACAGGATGCACCAGAGTCCCTACTGTGCTAGAGACACAGACAAGAACAATGTAGAACATGGATACAGGCTACTATTATAAAAGCAAATGTCATTTGTACACAGTGAATTAGGTTTAAAAAGATACATTAAGTTCTAGAGTAAGCAGATTTTGCAGTGTTCTTTGTACATTATTTTGATACCTCAAGAAGAGTGACTAATTCCAAGCAGTATATTTGGGAGTTCCCACATCTTGAGGTCATTATGGAATTTTTTTGGCATGACTAGATTATTTATTTGATGAAATTTCTAGAAGACAGTTTTTTCTCCAGAATTCATTATCATGTCACTCAGGAAAAAAAGGTGACATTAAGTGGTATTTAGATCATATTCAACAATTCATTGCTTCAGTGACAATCACATTCCTTGTAGAGACACAAAAACCAGAACAACAACAATCTTGTTGACTTCTCAACATGAACTGTCTGATGAATATTCTACATAGAGGAAAGCAAACTAAAGAAAACCCCAAGCAATTAGCAGATAAGCTCTAATTGTATAAACAAGGCTAATTTTAAAGACGGGAAATCTTTTCAGTTCAGAAAATCAGATGCTAAACTTTCCTCCCATTCACAGAAAAAGCCTTCCTACCATGCAAACAAGCAAGCAGACGAAAACCAGTGAGCTCATCATGCTAATTCTTCTGTAAAGAACATCCTTGCTCTGTAAAGGAAGAAAAAATGTTAGCTCAGTTTTTTCATCCTGGAGACATGGATGCCAATATAGCGAGAGCCTGTGCTTTGGGGGTGAAGGACGTGGAAGAGGAAGAAAATGGAGTAACTACAAATTGCTCTTGTACTCAGGATGTAGCAGCAGAGGCAGCAAAAGAAACCAGATGGCTGTTTCAGAGCTGTGCAGGCTGCATAGAACAGGGTATTTCAGGAAAACTGGGCAAGTAATTTTTGCTGAAGGCCCCAAAATCACAGAATCCTAGAATGGTTTGAGATGGAAGGGACCTTAAAGATCATCCAATTCCAACCCCTCTGCCATGGGCAGGGACAACTTCCGCCATCCCAGGTTGCTCCAAACCCCATCCAACCTGGCCCTGAAAACTTCCAGGGATGGGTCATCCACAGCTTCTCCCGGCAACCTGTGCCAGGGCCTCACCACCCTCACAGGGAAGAATTTATTCCTAATATCTAACGTAAACCTGCCCTCTATCAGTTTAAATTCATTGCCTCTTGTTCTATTACTACATGTCCTTGCAAAAAAATCTTGTAGGCCCCTTTAGGTACTGCAAGGCTGATAAAGTAAAAAGAAATGTGCAAGTTCCTTTTTAACACATGACTTGGGTTGCAGGAAAGGTTCAGCCCTGAGCTCTCTAGCAGCTGACTGCTCTCAAAAAGCGACTCCCCACAGCACGACACCACCACCAACAGCCAACCTGTACCTTGAGTACTACCATGTAACTCCATCATACAGCTGAGAGAAAATCTGGTGTCATCCAAGAACCACCTCCCTGCCCTACCTGCTGCATTCCCAGTAGCAGGCACTACACCAAGTTAGAACCCACAGCACAGACACAAACACACAGGATGCCAACTTTGGCCTAAGAGACCACAGGATTGAGGAAGTAACATTAAACAGTATTTACTGTGGCAGCATATCCAACATACATATGACCACTTAATTGCCAAAATGAAAATCAAATAATAAGATTTTTGAAGTGGTTTTTACACTTTTTTTATTTTCATTTGCCAACCTGAAGTGTATGTGTGTGTGTATATATTTCAACATGCACTTCATTTCATTAAATTATTTCTTTGGCTGTGACACCATAGCTGCATGAGAGCAGAGGAAAGACTGGGTAATTAGAGTTGAGTTGAGTGTTTAGAACATTATTCTAATAATTAAGTTCGATTTCTACAAATTCCACAAGAAAATATTTAATACTATTTAAAACCTCTTGCATGTGATACTTGCATTCCAAGTGGTAAGTGCACAGTATGGCCAGGATTTCTGTTCTGCTATATACAGTGTATATATATATATATATATATATATATATATGTATTCCCACTCCCACCAAGTTCCAAGGCCTGTTAGAGCTGGTACTTACTGACTTCGGCAAAAGTGCTGTAAAGCAGTAGAAATGACACTGGATTTCTAGACAGCACTGCCAGCTGCTGGAGTTACTGAGAGCTGTCACTGAGCTGTGACAAGCAGTGGCTGCCAAAGGCACTTTGGAAATGAGACCACCAAGCAGGGAAAACAGCAAGAGGTCCCATAAAATAGGGCGTATGCACTGGTAAAAAATTATTTTCAGATATCAGTCAAATGAACAGAGCACACTACCCAGATATTCTTACTTTTGGCAGCAGATTGTCCCTCTGTCCCTCATACTCTACCTGGACCAAGTGCTCCCACACACTTGATGCTTCACCAGATAGACTGAAACAGACAAGAACTGATATGCTTGTCTTCTGTAACACTATTCCTTGTCCACAGTCTGAGTGATGGGCTAGACAGATTCCACAGAATGTATCAAGCCTTGAAAATTGCTCCGAAAATGGACAGCTATTACTGGATGTTCCCTGTGTGACAACATAAATATGTATCTAGAATGGCACATTACTGGCTATCCAAATGTGTGAGCATGAATCTATGAAAACAGCAACAAGCTTTCTCTGACTGTCGGTGAGTGCTGCTGTTCTCAGTGTGTCCTCTTGCTGA